TCTATGGCGTGGTATAAAATAGTTAAGAAACGCTCTCTCATGATAGACCATAGGATATCCCACTTGTCACTTGTATTTTCTTGGCATACACACTCACCTAAAAGGCCCGTATGTATAACGAGAAAATTCACACAGCTCAAGGGATATTTCATGGTGTACCACTCGAAAGCGTTCCATACTAGTATTTCTTATCGTCTTAAGAGGCACTTAACATCATGAATGCCAGTACAAAATTATCGCAAAGCCAGTCATGGAAGACTTAAAATTTTAGTGTAATGTCTGTAATTTTTGTATATAGCGATGAGTTACAACAGGACTGAGTCCAATTCGGTCTGTAATCAAACGCGTGATTAAAAAAATCAGACGACCGCAAAAAGGGAGTTGGATATGTTTATTCACGAGTATGATGACAGACTAAAAGACGACACGATTTCCTGTTACAACCATAACAAAACTTCTTTACCACAACCATCCCGGATCGCTGAACCCGTGTGGGTGTATAGTTCCCTTTTAAAACAAAATGTGGTTTTATGAAATTTAAAACCAGCACTGTACTGACATAATAAATTCAACGCTGATCAGACAACAGATCAGAAACGGGAAGATCATATCAGAAGCTGGAAGCATGGAGAGCAAAAGTGTTAAGAACTCCAACATTTTCCTCTTTGGCTTTTCGTTCAACTTGATCCTCACGTTGGCTTCACTTGGCTTCACCAGCTATTCTTTGCACCGATTAGAATCACGTGTAGCAGCAGTTGAACAAGATTTACTTGCTTTAAATCATCCCTATCGGCTTGATAATCATGGAATTTCTAAACTAACCTTTACACACTCGCCCCCAATAAGTGAATCGGAAATGAACGGAAAACTCAGCAAAAGGGCTGTCGATGGATCATCCTTGTGGCGCAAATGTAACAGAGTTTGTTTAAACTCAAAGGAGCTTCGAAAGGTAAGGAGATTTTAAGTACAGCTTCCGTTTGAGTTCACATAAAGGCTGAACTTGTTGTTTCAATACACCTCTCACAAAGTGCAGTTCAGTAGATTCATTTCTTTCAGTGAGTCAACAAGAAAAGTGAAAACTGGAAATATTTCTACCGCTTT